AACAAGGGCCTTACTACTAGTAACAAGAAACTACTAGTAACAAGTGCTTCGCTACTAGTAACAAGTGCCTTACTACTAACTAGTAAAAAAACTAATAGTAACAAGTGCATCGCTACTAGTAACAAGTGCCTTACTACTAGTAACAAGAAGCTACTAGTAACAAGTGCCTCGCTACTAGTAACAAGTGCCTTACTACTAGTAACAAGAAGCTACAAGTAACAAGTGCATCGCTACTAGTAACAAGCGCCCTACTACTAGTAACTAAGAAGCTACTAGTAACAAGTGCATCGCTACTAGTAACAAGTGCTTAGCTACTAGTAACAAGTGCATCCCTACTAGTAACAAGTGCATCGCTACTAGTAACAAGTGCCTTACTAGTAGAAACTAAGAAGCTACTAGTAACAAGTGCCTCGCTACTAGTAACAAGTGCCTTACTAGTAGTAACAAGAAGCTACTAGTAACAAGCGGATCCCTACTAGTAACAAGTGCAAGGCTACTAGTAACAAGTGCATCGAGACTAGTAACAAGTGCCTTACTAGTAGAAACTAAGAAGCTACTAGTACCAAAATGCATCGCTACTAGTGACAAGTGCATCGCTACTAGTAACACGTGCCTTACTAGTAGTAACTAAGGCGCTACTAGCAACAAGTGCATCGCTACTAGTAACAAGTGCATCGCCACTAGTAACAAGTGCCTTACTAGAGAAGTAACTAGGAAACTACTAGAAACAAGTGCATCGCTACTAGTAACAAGTGCCTTACTAGTAGAAACTAAGAAGCTACTAGTAACAAAATGCATCGCTACTAGTAACAAGTGCCTTACTACTAGTAACAAGAAGCTACTAGTAACAAGTGCATCGCTACTAGAAACAAGTGCCTTACTACTAGTAACAAGAAGCTACAAGTAACAAGTGCATCGCTACTAGTAACGAGTGCCCTACTACTTGAAACTAAGAAGCTACTAGTAACAAGTGCGTCGCTACTAGAAAAAAAGTGCCTTACTAGTAGTAACAAGAAGCTACTAGTAAAAAGTGCTTAGCTACTAGTAACAAGTGCATCGCTACTAGTAACAAGCGCCTTACTAGTAGTAAGTAAGAAGCTACTAGTAAACAAATGCATCGCTACTAGTAACAAATGCATCGCTTCTAGTAACAACTGCCTTACTAGTAGTAACTAAGAAGCTATTAGTAACAAGTGCATCGCTACTAGTAACAAGTGCCTTACTAGTAAAAACTAAGAGGCTATACTAGTAACAAGTGCATCGCTACTAGTAGCAAGTGCACCGCTACTAGTAACAAGTGCATCGCTACTAGTAACAAGTGCCTGACTAGTAATAACTAAGAGGCTATACTAGTAACAAATGCATCGCTACTAGTAACAAGTGCATCGCTACTAGTGACAAGTGCCTTACTAGTAGTAACTAAGAAGCTACTAGTAACAAGTGCATCGCTACTAGTAACAAGTGCATCGCTACTCGTGACAAGTGCCTTACTAGTGGTAACGAGAAGCTACTAGTAACAAGTGCATCGCTACTAGTAACAAGTGCATCGCTACTAGTAACAAGTGCCTTACTAGTAACTAAGCGGCTATTAGAAACAAGTGCATCGCTTCTAGTAACAACTGCCTTACTAGTAGTAACTAAGAAGCTATTAGTAACAAGCGCATCGCTTCTAGTAACAAGTGCCGTGCTAGTAGTAACTAAAAAGCTATTAGTAGCAAGTCCATCGCTTCTAGTAACAAGTGCCTTACTAGTAGTAACTAAGAAGATACTAGTAACAAGTGCACCGCTACTAGTAACAAGTGCCTTACTACTAGAAACTAAGAAGCTACTAGTAACAGGTGCACCGCTACTAGTAACAAGTGCCTTACTAGTAGTATCTAAGAAGCTACTAGTAAAAAGTGCATTGCTACTAGCCCTGAGAATCCAATCTTGATTAGAATCAGTATATTGATTTTGATGTCTGCAAAATCAATATCTCATATTTTTCTGAATCAATTTTTCAATTGAAAAAACAATTGTTTCTGGACCCTTGAATCAATATATGTTTCATTATTTTTCAATATCCTACACCACCAGAATCAATATTTCAATCAATAGTTCATTGAACTGGGTCTGCTATGTACAAGCACCTTTTCCAAGGACTGCTATGTACAGACACCTTTTCCAAGGAGAATCTATCGCCTTTTCCAAGGATTAGACTTTTTCCAAAATCTTTGCCAAAGCCTTTTCCAAGGCTGCTGGCCCACATTGCCTTTGAAGGTTTGCCTTTTCCAAGGCCACTGTGCCTTTTCCAAAGTCACAGATCTTCCAGGTTGTCCTGATCCATTTTCCTGGTCAGCAGGAAGTGGACCAGAACCCTGTACTTGGGGACAACCTTCAGTGTGAGCTTGGTGGAAAACTCACACTGTGGGCCAGCTTGCTGATGTGCCCTACATAATCCTCACCCAAGAAGCACATATGCTTGGTAGGGTTCATATATTTGCTATTCCATAGAAGATGTATGAAACTGTGGTGTTTGGCAACAATTGCAAAACTGTTTCTGCCCTTTTCCAAGGACCAAGCATGAAGCCACTTGCAAGCGTCCAAGAAGTCTTTTCCAAGACTCATGGCTTTTGCAAATTCTCTGGGTGTGAGGAATGTGCCAGCATCGCACCAAAGCTGCACCAGCTTTTCCAAGCTGCAGACTGCTGTGTGCATCTTTTGTTCACTGATCTCTGTGGCCCCTTCAAAGAGCTTTTCCAAGACTGGGACCGGAGCTGGCGGCAAACGCTTGGCTTCTCCAGCCTTGCAATCCAAACTGGCTTTGCTTACCCATGGCTTTTGCTGCATCAGTGAACATAGACAGCTTTAAGTTGGTTAAGCGATGCTCCAAGCTTTGCTCTCTATACTGCTCTTGGATTTCAGTGAAGAGCATAGCAAGCCTTTCCCAAGGCTTTTTGACAGGCACCTTTCCAGGGCCTTCATAGTAGCATGCATAATGCAAGATGCTACCAATGACATGACTGTAGAGCCCTTGCAAAACAGTATGTGCCTTGGATCCCCTCGAACATTCTTGCTGGACACATGGGGCAGTTGGAAGATCTCATGTGAACTCCATGGGTCGGCCAAATGTTCAGCATGGGTCCCTACTATAAACTTTTGCTTTTCCAAGCAGATCTCTCTGTAGTTCAGGGATGCTTCACACCCAGCCCAATTCTGGGCATTGCACTCCCAGCAGGGGCGATGTGCAGCCCAGTGTGGGAGCTTCAAAGTGTTCGAATAGAACTCATGGTCTCCCATGACACACCACAGATGTGCAAAGTACCCTCCAATCAATGGCTTTCCAGCCTGTGCAAAGAAGGGTGACCCCTTTTCTAAGGGGTGCCCATCTGGATCAGTCATAGGATGAAACCCTTTTCCAAGGGCTTCAAATGACCATTTAATCCACTTCCACATTGGTGCCCAAGTACTCTTCCAAGCACATGATTTGGGGTAGCATGCCAGCAACCAATCCCCTCTTGAGCGACCCACCACTCTGGCCCATCATGGTGCCCCAGGAGTACACAAGCAAGGTGTCTATGGAATGGAATTCCACCATCGCCATGAAGGAAAAGAGGTATGCACCTTTCCTCCCAGTCCTTTTCCAAGGACATGGGATGGCTTTCCAGCCTGTCATCTTCCACCTGCTGAACTCCTCTCCAGAATTTCTGGAGTTTGCCTTTTCCAAGGCCAAACTCTTCTTTGAAGAAAGTTGGGTAGTGGTTGCCCAAATGTGAGAACATCAAATGGGGAAGGTATATTGATGCAAATTCTTCCTTTCCCAAGGATGTCTTTGGGTCCACACACCCAACTTTCACTTGGAACCCCTCAGGAAGGAGGCAGTTGCCCTGCTGGGCATTTCAGGTAGGGCTGTGCTCTGCACCATCCTGTATAGCAAGATCTGCTAGTTCCCTTATCATGGCAGCAGACAGCATGCCATGTGCCCACAATCCCAAAAGCTTGTTGGCCAATTTCGATCGTGGGCCACCTGCCTTTTTCAAGGCCCTGCTTCTTTACCTTTCCCAAGGCTGGTACTGGCACTCTGCCAGATTCCATTTCCATTTGCCATCCTCTCAACCTCTTACACATGATAGCCTTTTCCAAGGCTACCAAACCCAAAAGCAGCTGCAGCAGAGATGCATTCACGCTTCAAACAGTAGCAACATTTACACATGTCGTGGCCAGTGGT